ATAGCCAAGATGAAAGAAGAACCACTTAAAATGCCTGACATGCAGAAAAAGGACACAGTTTTAAAAGCCTCAAGAGAAAAGGTCACATTGAAAGGCAAGCCAGTCAAAATCACTTCTAATTTCTCAGCCCAAACTCTGAATATCAGGAGGGTTTGGAATGTTGAATTCCAAGTCCTGAAAGAAAATAATTGTCAATCAAGATTGCTATATCTAGGAAAGCTATATATCAAAATCAGAAATAAAAACCTTCCAAGATAAAGGGTATATACAAAAACCCCAAAGCCACCCTCATAGTAAATGGGGAAAAACTGAAAGCATTTCCTTTAAAATCTGGTAAAAGATAAAGATGTTCACATCTGCTGAGAAAGAAATTGGAAACAAACCCCCCCACCCCCAAAAAAAACCCTAGAAATAAATCTAACAAGGTGATGAAAGACCTCTACCATGAAAACTATAGAACACTGAAGAAAGAAATGGAAGAAGACCTCAGAAGATGGAAAGACCTCCCATGTTCATAGATAGGCAATATTGTTAAAATTACTATCACCAAAAGCAATATAAAAATTCAATGCAGACCCCATCAGAATACCACTTCACTGAAAAGAGTCCTAAAATTTATTTGAAAGAATAAAAGACCCAGAATAGCCAAAGCAATTCTAAACCAAAAAAGCAATGCTCAAGGTATCAAAATACCTGACTTCAAATTTTACTACACATCATAAAACAAAAACTGTATGATACTGGTATAAAAACAGACACACAGAGCTATGCTGTTTTCTACAGCATAGAAAACAGACTAACCTGCACATTTACACTCATCTGCTTCTTGACAAAGGTGCCAAAAACACACATTTAAGAAAACAGAGCCTCTTTTAAGAAATGGTGGTAGAAAAACAGGGTATTCTTATGTACAATTGTGAAAGTCTGTCCTTATGTCTCACCCTGCACAAAAGTCAACAAAAAAGTGGATCAAAAACATAGAAATTAGATCAGAAACTATGCAACTTCTAGAAGAAAATGTAGGATCAATACTTTAGCATATAGGCACAGGCAACAACTTTCTCAGTAGGACCCCTAAAGCTCAGGAAATAATGCCAGGAATTAATAAATAGGATGCATCAAAAAAAACCTTGGACTGGGGTTGTGGCTCAGTGGTAGAGTGTTTGCCTAGAGTGTTTGTGTGAGACACTGGGTTTGAACCTCAGCACCCCATATAAATAAATGAATAAAATAAAAGTTCATCAACAACTAAAAAAAAAAAAAAAACCCTGCCCAGCAAAGAATTCAGTTAAGAATCTGAAGAGAGATCATACAGAATGGGAGAAAAATATTTGCTAGCTATTCTGACAGAGGATTAATATCTAGAATATATAAAGAACTCAAAAAATCCAGGTAACCCAAATAATAAATGGACAAGTGAATTAAACACATTGTTTTCAAAACAATAAATACAACTGGCCAACAAATACATGAAAAAATGGTCAATACTGTTAGCAATTAGAGAAATGCAAATCAAAACTATACTGAGAATTCATCTCGTACCAGTCAGAATGGCATTCATCAAGAATACAAATAATAATAAATGTTGGAGAGGATGTGGAAAAAAAGTTGTAATTATGTAATTGTAAATTTGTACAACCACTATGGAAACCAGATTCCTCAAAAGATTAGGTGTGAATCTACCACATGACCCAGCTATACCACTCCTCGGTATTTAGCCTAAAGAATTAAAGTCAGCATACTAGAGTAGTACAGGCATACCCATGTTTATAGCAGGATAAACCAGAGTAACCAAATTATAGAACCAGACTAGGTGCCTGTCAGTGGGTTAATGGGTAAAGAAAATATATATGTACCAAATGGAATTTTATTTAGCAATAATGAAAATTGAGATTATATAATTTGTAGGAAAATGGATGGAACTGGAGACCATTATGTTAAGTGAAAGAAGCTAGGTTCAGAAGGTCAATAGTTTCTCTCATTTGTAAAAGCTAGTGAATGAATAGGAAATAAATATGGGTGACTGCATGAAAAGCAAAGGGAGATCAGCAGATCAAAGAAAGGAGATCCAGGGGTTGGGAAGAGGGGAGGAAGGTGGGAAGTGCTAGGAAGGGTTATTGGCCAAATTTTGTTCTTATTTTGTGTGCATGTACTAATATTTAACAACACATTCTACCATTATGTGTACCCTAATGAACAAAGAATGTGAGGGAAGAAGGGGTAGATTGAATATCTGTTCCTGTTTTGATTTTGAAAGACCTAATTTTGGATGTGCATTTCCAAAGTAAGTATTTATTAGATGCCATGAGAGTTCATTTTAGTTAATGCTTTGAACCATTCACAGGATATGAAATTTAATAGATGCTCATATTTGAATATTTTTAGCATCTTCACATGTTATTTAGTAGTGTGTTCATGGAGTTTATGTTAGTGTGGTCGAGGTGATCTGGAAGGGAGGGGTCTTGATGGACAAGTGAAGGGCATGTGTTCCAGGCAGCAAAAGAAGCACGGGAGAGCACACCATTGTCGAATGCTGTGCAGGTGGGATAGAGCAGGAGCAGCAGGAAGGTTGATAGCAGGTATAGCCCAGAAGTTAATGTGGGGGACAGCTGTAAAGAACCTCTCTGCTATGATACGTATACGAGTTGTCTTCTAATGACATTACCTAATAATGGGAGTTTTTGAGGGAGGATAAACCTAATCCTGTTTTCTAAATTGCATCATTTGGTATTCAGATTGAATTAGGGAAGTCATAGAAATGGAGACCTTTTAGTGCCATATTCTTTGTATATGGGGCACATCATCGAGCAGCAGCATGCTGGACTGCTGTGTATTGTACTTAGGACTTCCTGTAGAAGAGCCCCTTTAGCTTCGTTCATGGCAAAAGTCACATGGAAGCTTCCCTTCTTGGGGGAGAATCTCAGCTTTTTGCCTTTTGAACCACAGTGTCAGGGAACATTTTTTTTTTCTGGAAGGAGGACATAATTGAAATGGTTTGGAGTAGAGAGTATTATTGTTATCACTATTAACTCTTTTTCTTTGTTTTCTGGTAGCGCGGGTGATTGAACCCATGGCCTGAAACATGGTAGGCAGGTGCTCTTACCATTGGGTCACACCTCCAAACCTTACCTGTTTCATTACAAAGTAAAAGGCCAGTACTGTATGACATTGTGAGCATTACTTGGAATAAATGGAATATGATGTTCAAAGAAAAAAGTGCCATTAGCTTCAGTGGTAGCATTGACATTGAGGTATCTTTGTTGGAGCTTCCTTCTAAAGTGTGCTCTTAAAATTACCTCTAAGTTCCTAAACAAACTGTATTGAGCTCTATGGACCAGTTGTGCCTTAAATATGCTCTGAGTTGTAAGTTTGTTTTCACTCTCCTACCTGTAACATTACAAGTGACAAGCTAGCAGCTCAGTTAACCAAGGGTTGGCCCGAAATCAAATTCCTAGCAAATTCCTAGCTTAAGGCAAGGGCTGTTAGAATGAGGCAGAAAAAGGTCAGTGTTGCTGGGCCTTCACCAGCAGGCAGATTGTGGAGAGCGGGTGGCTATTCCCCCGTCTCTTCTGTTCAGTGTCCTGAAAGTTCCCTGCCCAAGGATGAGAAGTCACTGAGTTCATGTGGTGGCAGAGGCACTGAAGGAAATGTATGTAGTACCCTGAATGTAGGTTGACAGTATTCAAGAAGTTAGTACCTGTTAAAATAGCTTGACTGTCTTCAGCATTTAGAAATGTATCCTATAGCTGAGCAGACTTGGAGCAGATGGCCACACTGTTTAGTGAGTGGACCATTATTTAACCTTCTGATATTTTCTCTTTTTTTTGAGATGGGATCTTGCAGTGTTCCCCAGGCTGGTCTTGAACTCCTGGTCTCAAGGGATCCTCCTGCCTCAGCCACCAAGTACCTTGGGCTACAGGCACATGGCACTGTGCCTGGCTTAGTATTCTAATATTTTGTTCATAGTGTAATAATATTAACATTTTGAGAACTTTTGATGCTATCATTTGCCTTGAACTTTTTTCCTTAAGCAAAATTACAAGGTTGTTCCATAGAAAAGAGTAGCAGTCACTTATTACATAAGTAATAAAAAATCAAAGGCTATTAAATATATGCTGTGTGTCACCATATAACAGAATAATAAACCTTTCTTGGGAATTTAAGATCTTAATTAAGGAATAAAAAGAGTGGTTTTTTTTTGTTTCAAAGTATTTTAAATGTATTTACTATATTTATTACATCTTATGACTCCTGGTGTTTTTCTCTCATTTTTTAATGTGTCCATTACAAAGAATGTAAATAGTGAGAAGGAAGAATGAATTATATAGTTAGGAAAGAAGATGAAGTTGGAAATGACAGAGTTCTGTGGAGTATACTCAGGGCCTGGGGCAGCGGGCCTATTCACTGTCAGACACGTGGCTGTGAAACAGTCCTGAGAGCAAGAGGAAAGCTTCAAGTAACCATGCTCATGATAATTAAAAGAGACGTTCTTTTAAGTTCTGTCCTGTGCTGGTAAAGCTACCAGTAGAGGATGATTTTATATGTTATTGCTTTATTTATTTTGCCTGTGAGGTTTGTGCCAGTGTCATGTATGATACTAATTTAAGGACTTTTATATATTCATGTTTTTCAGCTTTAGTTGTCATGTTATTTTATTGAGTAATGTTTTTCATCATTAGAAACTTTAACACTGACAGAGTACAGGAAGACCCTTCCAAATGGTACACCTTTTCCAATGACCACAAGAAAATTCTCACCTTAAAAAAAAAATAATGTGGGATAGTTAATTACTTGTGTTTACTACAGAAGTTAATTGTGAGTGACAATGTCTATATGAAATCTACTTTGAAAGTATGAGTTGAACATAGACAAATTCCTGGTGTTTGCATTTGTTTCATTGATTTTGCCTTAGAGTTATTTTTAAATATCTGTCAATTCAACGTTGATCTCTGTTGTGCCATTGTTTCCTTGAGTTGATTGTACTTCTTCTTCTTTTTAAGGTAAAGTGCAAGTTAAGAGTTCAGACATACAAGTTGGAGACCTCATCATAGTGGAAAAGGTTGATGCATTTTAATATATTTTAGATCTATGTATATGCTGTCATTAACATTTAGCTTTATTACGAGTAACTTTTGAATTTTAAAAAAAATTTTTTTAGTTGTAGATGGACATAATATCTTTATTTTTATTTGTTTATTTATTTATTTTTTATGTGGTGCTGGGGATCGAGCCCACGGCTTCACATGTGTGAGGCAAGTGTTCTACCACCGAGCTACAACCCCAGCCCCAACTTTTGAATCTTAATGAAATTATTTGAGACAGGTGTTTTAAATCCTAATATCTTTATGTAAGATTTGATGTACTTGAACAAAAATCTAGATGTTTGTACATTCTGTTTTACTAGTGTATTTTAATGTATATAGGTATAGTCATATTCTGACTGAAATAAGATGTTTGTTAACTGTTAATGATGCATTTTCAGGATTATTTCATTTGACCTCAAAGTCATATTAGAACATGTTAATAATACTCTATTTCAGTTTTTGGAACTTCTTGTGTAGATAGGTATATTGTCTGTAATTACTGGATATGATTCTTATGGTTTAAAAACTTTAAAGAGGGAAAGGTAAAGGGAAGTAGAAGAGCACTAGAAAAGAAACAAGTGTAGCCGACTGTAGGAAGTAGTCATGGAAACCCAGCAGAGATCAGGAGTAGATTGTCAGGATTGCTGATGATCTGCAGAAGGAAGGCTGGCTCAAGTGCAGCCCTTCCCTTGTCCTGCTACATTTGTGCATTGGGCATCCTCTCCTCTAGAGTTCATACTTGCTGTGTACTTTCTCCTTAAACATTCCTGGAGACTTTTTGTTTTAGGCTCTAGGCCACATTTTCAATAACTCTCTAGGACACTTTCCCATCAGGCCTTCCGTAGAGTAGTCTGAACCTGTGGGGTCAGCTGGTGTCTGGCCGCATGCAGTCCTCTTTGCCTCCTCCCACTGAAAGGCTGCTTTTACATTATTCTATGCACAGGTTGTGGTTGGCTTTGTGATTTGATTTTATATGATGGGATACGCAGACATTGTTTTGTCATTCATTTACCTAGTTTTCAGATATGTGGATGCAGTTACTGGTCTTTCATTCATTCCATTTTTCGGAAAGCCTCCTTTTTTCTTTTGCTATTATAGAATGTAGTGGTGACCATCCTTGTACATTTGTCTTTGTACACAGATTCTGACTAGAGAGATTACTCAGCCTGTTATTCATGTAAATTTTGCTAATTTTCCTTGCTTTTGCCATAGGCTGTATGTTTGCTATATTGATGGCCATGTTATTTAAATACCTTTAATTATACTTTACTTTTTGATTCTGGGCCTTGAACTCAGGGCCTTGTACATGCTACACATATGCTGTAGCACAGAGTTTTTGGTTATATTTTAAATATGGTGTGATAAATAAAAAAGAGAAGGAGGCTATTTCAGGTAAACCTGAAAGGGCTATTGGCATTACAAAATGTGGCTCCTTTAGGGAATTTCAAGCTATTTGATGTTTCAAGAGTAGAGTTGATGTTTTTGAGGGTGGCTTAGAGGAATTGAAGGGTTGCTGGTATTATGGAAGAGCTTCTTGTCCCGAGTTAAACATTTCTAAATATTTCTCCTTTTCCCAACTTGATAAATTCATGTCAAGATTTAAGTAAGAGAGTGAGTTCTCTTTACAGTTTGTTAGTTCTTGTTACTTGTCTTAGGGTTTTCACTTACTGTTTTTTTTTTTTTAACTGATGGCCTGCTATAGTGCAGGTCCTCTAGGGCTGAAAGGAGGAGTTCTTTCATTAGTCACGGAGCCTACTTCCTTACGTGTATGTCTTAGAACATGTAGCTATTTTCTCTCTGTATTCCATGTTACTCTTACAGTGGTGTTGAGCAACAGAATTGTCCTCAGCTCCAGAACTCGATGTTGAATAAGCTTTTATTATACATGTCTTGGGTGGAAAAACCATGAGTTACAGCTTTTCTAACTTAAACCCAATGTTAGGGACTTTACTTGTTAAAAATACTATTTGCAAGAGTTCATAATTTTTTTCCAAAGAAGCAATCTTTTATTTTTTTTTTTTTAATTTTCTTAGTTGTAGATGGACAGCATGTCTTTATTTTATTTATTTTTATGTGGTTTTGAGGATTAAACCCAGTGTCTTACACATGCTAGGCAAACTCTCCACCACTGAGCCAAACCCCAGCCCCCAAAGAAACAATCTTTTGTTTAAAAAAAAAAGTATTATTTAATAACAACCGTATCAACTGATACTTGCAGAATTATAGTGCTCTGGATTGTTCTAAACTTTAATATAATATTAAATAAGATAAAAGCTGTCAAAGTATTTGTTTAAATAAAAATCAGTCCCATTGAAGGTTATGTTATTCTTATGTGTGCAATATGGAAAAGAAAGAAATGTTAAGTTTGTCTCCTAGCTTACCAGGGTGTATCTAAAACTTGGGATAAATCTGTTTGCTAAAATGTTGCTTCTCTAGCACATATCAAGTAAAGAGGGAAGAGGTGGCAAGTGCAGCCTTCACACAGTTCCTGCAGCCCATGGGTGTGTGCTGCCTCCATGGTTGCAGGATCAAAACAGACTCAATGGACCTTGTTAGTGCCTTTTATACCCTGATTAGAACTAGCTTCTGGGGGAAGAGGATGTTGCTTTTCCTTCATCTGGGAATAGCCATTTACTCTTTTGTTGTTTTTTTGCTTTTTTAAAATTTGTTTTAATTAGTTATACATGACAATAGAATGCATTATTTATACCCTGTGATATGTCATACATAGATGGGATATAATTTCTTAATTTTCTGAGTATACATATTACATAATTATATTGGTCATGTAGTAATATATATATACATAAATTAATAATGTCTGTTTCATTCTACTATCTTTCTTATCTCCCATCCCCTCCCATCATTTCCTTCTATCTAATCTAAGGTAATGCTATTCTTCTGCACCCTCTCCCTCGCCTTATTGTGAGTTAGCATCTGCATATTTGGCCTTTGGTTTTGTGGGATTGGCTCTTTTCACTTAGCATGATATCCTCCCAAAACATCCATTTACTGATGAATGCCATAATTCCACTCTTCTTTAAAACCAACTAATATTCCATTGAATACATATACCACATTTTTTTTATTCATTCATCTATTGAGGGACTCCTAGGTTGATTCCATAGTTTAGCTATGGTGAATTGTGCTGCTGTAAACATTGATGTGGCTGTATTTCTGTAGTATGCTGATTTTAAATCTTTTGGGTATAAACCGATGAGGGGAATAGCTGGGTCAAATGGTGGTTCCATTCCCAGCTTTCTGGAATCTCCATACTGCTTTCCATAGTGGTCGCACCAATTTTCAGTCCCATCAGCAATGTATGAGGGTACCTTTTTCCCCACGTCCTCGCCAACATATATCGTTTTCTCTATTCTTGATGATTGCCATTCTGACAGGAGTGATTTGAAATCTTAATATAATTTTGATTTGCGTTTCTCTAATTGCTAGAGATGTTGAACACTTTTTCATATATTTGTTGATCAGTTGTATTTCTTCTTTTGTGAGGTGTCTGTTCAGTTCCGCTATTAGCCCGTTTATTGACTGGGTTATTTGTTTTTCTGGTGTTAAGTTTTTTGAGTTCTTTATATATCCTAGGGATTAATGCTTTATCAGAGGTGCTTGTGTTAAAGATTTTCTCCCAATCTGTAGGCTCTCTCCTCACCTTATTGATTGTTCCCTTTTCTGAGAAGAAGCTTTTTAATTTGAATCCATCCCATTTATTGATTCTTGATTTTACTTCTTGCGGTTTAGGAGTCTTGTTAGGGAAGTCAGATCCTAGGCTGACATCATGAAGATTTGTGCCTATTTTTTCTTGTCTCTGTTCTACTGCCTAAGTCTGTGATCCACTTTGAGTTGATTTTTCTGCAGGGTGAGATAGGTTTAATTTCATTTTGCTTCGTATGGATTTCCAGTTTTGCCAGCACCATTTGTTGAGTAGGCTGCCTTTTCTCCAGTGAATGTTTTTGGCACCTTTGTCTAGAATGACATAACCGTATTTATGTGGGTCTGTCTCTGGGTCCTCTATTTTGTACCACTGGTCTACAAGTCTATTTTGGTGCCAGTGCCATGCCGTTTCTGTTACTATAGCTCTGTAGTATAGTTTAAGGTCTCTTTATCTTATTTTTCTGAGTTAATGCGATTTGATAAATAAGTATTACAGTATATATTGTCATGTCCAGAAGAAACATTACATAAAGTATGTGAACAGATGTACTCTGAAGTTCTGTAAATAACCTGAGGTCCTCCAAACAAGGACTCAGAGTATACACGAAAAGGGAGAGATGAAAAATGGAGGAAATTATAGAAGAAAAGTAAAATAATGCATACTTGTATTCTGTTTTATTAATAAATTACCCTAATTGTCAATGTTCTGAACATAGCAATAAAGTGAAATGCAGAGTGGATAGAAAACATGACCGAGCTCTATGCCATTGACAAGAACATGTCTTCTCGTCCACTCAGAAAGGAAGATACGTCACTTAAAATTGAACAAAACAAAAGAGCCGGTATGGTAGTGGGCAAGAAAATATTCTTTAGAATAATGGGGAAAAAGTCAGTAAGAAGTTGCATTAGTATGTAAAAGATCTGAGAAGCAACAGCCAGGTCTAGATAGTTTCACTGGAGAATTCCTTAAAACCTTCAGAGGAGATTTACTATTAGTTTCACACAGTAGCTTCTGGGAAATAGTTGGTGGAAATTTACTCAGCTCATTTTATGAGGTTGGGGTTATCTTTATACGAACACCAGAAAAAAACCTCCCAGACAGAATTACAGACTGATAGATATCCCCTAATGAAAATAGTCAGAAAATTTTTAAGAAAATATTTACCAATTGCCATCAGTAATAAAGAGAGTTCCTCAACATGAACAAGTAGAGGTGACTCCTGGAATGTAAGTCTGTCTAGTCCCACATTTTGGAGTCAGCCAATGTGACCCACTCTATCAGAGACCAAGGAAAAATCTCATGTACCAG